CTAGTTTCTCAAAGTGAAATTTCTAACTTTGTTTCTACTAGTAACCAAGGTTCAATTCCTGACAACTTTAAGTATAAAAAAAATATTTATCAATGATTGCAATTAAGTTATAATTGATTTATTATTATATTATCAGTGATTTATTACTAAACTATCAATGATATACTGCTAAAATACCAATGATTTACTACTAAATTAGCATTAATTTACTACTAATTTATAAGTAATTTACTAATAAGTTATGAATGATTTTCTACTAAATTGTTGATAATTTAGTTTTTGTTTAATAGTTTAATAGTAAGTTACTTGATCAGCAAATGGATGATTATAAACTCGTTGATCTAGATTAGCATTACTGCAATATGAATTTCAAAATTCTAAAAAAAAATATATCTTTTAATCTCTGCAAGACTTAGGTATAAGAATTTTTTTCTAGAATTTTTATTAGTATATTCACAACTTTTGTACTTAAATTTTCATTGTGTTGTATTTTCATTCTATTTTGAATTTCATTACCAGAATCATAAAAGTATAGTTAAAAATAATATGGATTATTTTCTTCTGGAACTAATGTTGGAATACCATCATATATATGCCATTACGTTCGAAAGGTATAAATACCTTGTCTTGAAGATACAAGATCCTTATCTAACCTAACTCCAAAAGATGTGAATGAGAACATACTATTGTAAAATCTAATGTGCTTTCGAAATTCAATGGCTTCTTTTAATTTGAGATGCAAAAAGACAGTATAATTGTTATGGAATAGAAGTGGTAGCTAATTTCGCTTGACTAGTTTAACAACAAAATGATGGAGGCTCCTATTGAAACATTTAGCATCACAATAATTACAACATGGAATATTCTTAATTGATATAATGGAGAAAACAAAGGAGTATATAATGTTTCCCCTAATAAAATAGTTTCATATTAATTCTAAAGAAAATTGAAATAAATATAGTTGTATATTTTTCATTTAAAAATCATATCAAACTAACTTTGTTTATCATAGGAAGAAGATAGAGCTATGTATAACCCATCATTCTTTTATCTCTTTTTTTACTTAAGATAATCCTCCATTGGTGTTTTCATTGATTAACTTCTATTATTTGAAAAAATTGTTATGCATTAATTTTTATTATATATAAATATTAAAATACATAATTTAAAAAAAAAATAAATTTCTAACCTTGATATCTTGTCATGTTCCAATGAATTTTATTTCACCTTGAAAGAATTCATTGATGCATAACTTTTCTTTTTGATTTCTAGCTAAATTTGATGTAGAAAATTCCAAGCAATCAGCAGACAATTTTGCAAAAGAGATGAGCTAACCACTTGTTTGCAAATAAGAGAAGATTTTTTACACAAAAGATAAAACATTCATAAGTTTTGCACAAGAAATCACATAAAAGTTTTCATTTAAAAGATACTATTTGATGTCTAACCTGATCTAAACTTTTTAATGATAATGACATTATGCATATTCTTATAATTGTAAACAATTAATTTAAGATATTCACTGAGCATTTTTAGAACTTGCATATGCTTATGTTCTTAAGCTAACAACTTTTTAGCAAACTTTTTATTTACAAAAAGAAAAATGTACTCCTTACAAATAATCAATTTGAATGATATTGAATTTATTGATTAAAAAAGTAAAAATGAAAAACCTTTTTAGTTTAGTACTTATCAGGCGACATACTTAGTAGTAAATCTCCTTCAATGATTGTTAATTTAACAGCATATACATATGGCGTGCATGATTGTGAATTTATGCATGCATCTCTAATAGATGTATGATGTTTGTAAGCAGATGTTTTGTGCATCAACAATGTCAATTTTTAATCCTTGAAAGAATATGATGTTTGTATTTGTTCAGGGAAACACTACAAATAGTTAGAAAGTTAGGTTCATTTTGGAAGATTTTCAGATTGTGAATATCTACGAAGGACACTAGTTGAGAAATTTCAATAGATAGAATCTAGGTACTTCTGCTTTTTATTACCTTCATCATGCAATTAGTAAATATTGTTAATAAAGATTTTATTATTGATAAAGCACACACCATGTTCTACTGACTCGTGGATATGCATAGAAATTATGTAAATGTAAATATAAATGATTAATTATTGAAGCAGAACTTTATGTGAATGATTATTGCTTCCAAAAAAATGGGTTTTCATTGGAATCACACCTTACATCTTCATTTCATTTGCATTGCTTTTCTGTTGTATTTCATCAGTAGATGTCTTTAAGTCTTCCTTTGTCAGTAACATACTACAATGTAACCCCTGCCTACCCATCTTTCTTTTTCAATCTCTAATCATTGTCACACATTTCTTGGTTTTTATATTTAAATGAAAGTTGTAAATGCTACATATCTTATATTATCATTTCTAACATTGGTAGCAATTTAGGTTTGTATCTTGCTTAATTCTTCTACGTTAAGATGTTTTCTCTTTTTTTAGTGTAGGATGGCTCTATAACTAGATCAACTTATCAAACTCATGAACATGGGTTTATTGATTATATTTCTTTCCAAATACTTGGTGACTCTTCCTCAGACATTGCTAATTGTATAGGCATATGAAAAGGATTCATGCATAGTTTGAGCAATAGTACTGAAGAGTCTGCTTCTTTGGAATCTATTTTACTTTTTTTTCTTGATGGTTATCACTGTGTGGATCTATCTTTATATAAGGTGAAAACCGTCTCTTTCTTTTCTTTGAATCTAATAAAGAAAAGTCAAAGTGTTTTTGGTTATTTAATGATTCAACCTTTTCATTTTTAGTTTCAGTTTTTTGGGATGTTTTCTAACTCAATTGATCTTTTTTTTTTTTGGAAAAAAATCTAAAATAGGAAGATTAAATTGTTTTGTTATTAAATGAAACAACTACCTATTAAAACTCTGGAAAATATTTTATGATGATCGTCTAAGCTAATGATCTCCCACTTATGTCTATTTTAAGATCCACTTCTATAAACCTTTGGAACTTAAATCAACTAAAGGTAAATGCTTCTTTTTGCAGATCCTAACCACACTTTTTGGATTAAATAATTGATAGGACCTTTAACTTTATTGTTTTTGCTGCTCAATATATTTAGATGTCAAATTAAAACTGATACAAAACCATATTCAATTGTTCCTTAGGAACTGGCTAAAAGAACTTGTTCAAGTTGCATGGGAAAAACCTAAAGTTGGATAAACTAAATTAAACTTTGATAGATCTTTCAAAGCTAATGGCAAAAGCAAATGTACCTTGGATAAGCTGTTGTGATGATTCATGCACTTGATCTTTTTCCCTACGATGTTGAAACCTTTGTTCTTCGAATTCCCAAGTCTCTAATCACCTAATTTTACATAAAAATTGCAAACATTCTTTATAATTATATATTTGTATTTAGTTCAACAAAAGGTGCCTAAGCATTAAACACTCTAAAATTCAAAGAAAAAACAATTAAATTAACTAATTTTAATTAAAAGTTAGTGTCATTTGCAAAGTTACCTAAACAAGGATAGCAAAAAAATCCGATATTAATGTGAAAAATAAAATTTTTTGTTAATATTACAAACCCTTTCTCTAAAGAAGTTTGGATTTTTTTTTTTTTTTTGTATTTGTATTTAATGTGAAATTCTTTTTTGACTCAATAAAAGTCTAATAATAAAAAAAAAGAGTTTAAATTGCATTTTTTAAGAAGTTTAATAATAAAAGAGTTCAAATTATAATTAATCTCAATAGAAATATAATAATAAAAAAATCATTTTAATTAAATTTTATTAAAAATTTTATTCAAGATATTTTGATTGTTCACTATTATCATTTTTTATTTACTAAAAGTATTTTAATCATTTATTATTATCACTTTTAGAGTTCACACTTTTATATGTAAATGATATATAGAGCTCATTTTGGCTTATGATTATTCTAAGCTAGTCTCAATGAATCACATTATAAGTTCGTGCATAAACCTACTTTTGGCTTATTATTCAATCCAAAAGTATTGACGATTTTCAAACATATATTTCAATTCACTTAATCATGTTTTCATGAAAAATATGTACCGATTTTAACTCTTTCTTTGTGTGTTTACAGTATTCCCCATCCTGACATTTATCTACATTGGGTTTTCAATCAATTAAACTCAATTGATGAGACAATTTCAATTCATATACAGAAAATTATGGCATTGTACCCAATAATAAGAAATAGCATTTTGACCATATACCCAAATATAAATATCTATTGCATTTGGTCAATTTTCTTGCCAGCAATAGTGCATGAAATAAATGTATACTAATTTTGAATAAAAATTAAAGAAAAACTTATCTAACATTATGATAGAGAATTATTTCTCTTTATCCATAATTGTTTCCAGAATTTGGATTTCACCAATGCATTTCTGAAAATTTATTTCTCTTGCTTCTTCATAAATAAGAAATATAAAATTTTTTCATAATTACCTTTAAATTGTTAGAAAAAATAAATAAGAAAATAAAAATAATATAAAAGAATTTTGGCTTTAAGGTGTGAAGAATACTTGTTTAAAATCAATTATACCTATAAGATACAATAAAACTTAAAACTCTCCAATTAAAAATAGTGAAAATAATTATACTGAAAAATCTATTTATAATAAATGAACATAAACATAAACTTCTATTCAAATGATCATGACTTTTTGTATAATTATAATTTTTATAAATAATAATCTATCTATATTCAAATAATTATGACCATTGGTCATATGATAATTATTTTTATTCAAACATAATTATTTAAAATATGAATAAATTAATACAAAAATTAATTTTATTCATTAATAAGTAAATCTTTTTATTTAATGTGAGATATACCAAAAAAAAATACACATATTGTTGCTTGGCATTTAACATTCAAATGTAAATGTGATATCTCACATACACGACAAATGAGTGATAAATACACAGAATCACTAAAGGGAGAAAGTGAAAAAGGATAAAAGGCTGAAAGCCATAATTAGATGTATGATTGAGTTGAAAATTTAAAGCCCGAAACCATGGCAGTAAGTGCTAGAGATAGAAATGCAAAGAAAGACATGCAAATAGCCGCAGCTGATGAATCAGTGAAAGAGTCGTCTCCCACTTCTCTCATCCTGTTTGTCAATGAAATCGCCGAAGATGTTGATGATATCAATAAGTATGCCATCATCTGCAGCTTAAAATATTTCAAAATCCTTTCGAATTATAAATAAAGCTTGGTAACAAACATTCCCCAACAACTTAAGAGGAAATGGAATCAATTATGCTCTTGTTGGGTTAAGAAACCTAATTAATACTATATATTGCTGGAAATTTGCAGTTGGCTTAGTTGGCAAAAGCATCAACATCCTATAAATACATACATTTTACTAATGTGATGCACCACGTGTCAGCCAACTCTTTTTTTTATTTTCTTTTTTCTTTCTTTTATATTGAATTAATTTTTTTATAGGTTCATATATTAATTTGCTTTTTAGTTTTTTATTTATTTTTTATATTTAATACTTTTTTAATATTTTAAAATTTCTTGTGCAGAACCTATTTGACATTATTGATTTTTTGTTTTTTCATTCACTTTTAATTTAATAATTTTTTGAAAAAATGATATTAATGGAGGTACGACGTGACATCCATATGTTTTTTATTTTTTGGTCATTTCTTTTTTATTTTTTAGTTTTTTTGCTTTTTTATTTTTTTTAAATCCATGACATAAATTTTGTAATAAAAAATCATCGTTACTAATGTCGCATGACAACTCAATTTTCTTTCTTTTAATTTATATTTTTTATTTTTTGTCATTTATTTTTTTTCTTTATTTTTTAATGAGATTTTTTTTTATGAAAAAAAAATTGATGTGCAAATGTGACATCTTATTTTGCTTTTTTACCTTTTTTTTGTTTTTATTTTCTACTTGTTTAATTAAATAAATTTTGAAGCAAAAGAAATTGATAAATAAATTTTTTTAAAAAAAATGTCAATGGAGGTATAAATAACAAAATAACCAGTTGATTTCAATTTATTCATGTTCAATATGTACATTTTTTTAATTTGATATCAGATTGAGTTTTTTTCTTGAAAATCGAGATTCGATAGGAAGCAAGTTTAGGGTGTTTCATCACACTCGGATATATATAAATACATATGTTATTATTTATTTAATTTTATATCTATATATATGTATTATATTAATAAAATTATTATTTAATACCTTAATTTAATATATTCACATGATATCTCCATTAGTTTTTTTTTTTTAACCATTTCCTTTTTTTTTGTTTAAGTTCTAACTTTTTAATTAGATAAATTTTATAAAAAAAAAAAAAAGTAATAGATGTAGGGATGACAAAATAACTCATATCCTATTGGTGTCGATTTACTCTGATCTAATAAATGTGGTTTTAAAAAATTCATGATTAGGTAGTTTTTTTTTTTTTAAATCAAGATTGAGTTCGAAAGTGAATTTAGGATGTTCGTGTTGCCACAAGTATATATATGATTATATTTATTTAATTATTTATTTAATTTTATACTTATATATATTATATTAATGAAGTTATTATTTAAAATCTTAATTTAATAAAAATGCTATATTTATATATAATTAAGATGTAATCCATCCTCCATCTATTATATAAATTTTACTCATTTTTATTTTTATTTTAAATTTTATATTATATAAATTTTACTCATTTTGTTTTTTTATTTTTTATTTTATTGTCACTTAAGGTGTTGATGATCAACCTTATGTTTCTTTCATTTTTTTGCTTCATTTTTTTAATTCATATAAAAAATTCAATGGAACGTGACACCCCAATTTATTTTTGCCTTTACCTTTATTTTGTTTTTTAAATTACATAAATTTTGTAACAAAAGGAACCAATAGATAAAGATAGTAAAATAATTCGTATCCAATGAGTTTTGATATGATCTGATGCAATAGGATTTTTCTCTTTTTTTATTTTTTTCATTTATTGTTTTTAAGTAGATAAATTTTGTAAAAAAATAATATCGAATGTATCCACATAACACCCCATTTGTTTTTTTTTTATTTTTTATTTTTTAATTAGATAAATTTTATAACAAAGTAGTCTAGTTGATAAGGATGGCAAAACAACCAGTATCAAATAAGTTTTGATCCTGTAGATTCCACATAGATATTTTTGTAAAAATTTTGAGTCAAGTCGGGTCAATTTTTTCATGAAAACAATGACGGAATAAAATTAGAAGTAGGGTGCTCTACTCAAGCCACCCCGTGGTATAAATAAAAGTATATATTTTTATCTATTTTATTTTATATTTATATATGTATTATATTAATAAAAGTTTTATTTTATACTTTAATTTAAAATATTAATATTTTAAACCCAATTTGGATGTTCACATAGCACATCAATGATCTCTTTTTTCTTTTTTGGTTTATTTTTTTTATTTTGATTTTTTGATTTTTATTAATAAAATTATTATTTGATACCTTAATTTTAAACTCAATTAGGATATTCACATAATACCCCAATGTGCTCCCTTTTCATTTTCCATTTTTTTTTCTTTTTAGTTTTTCCTTTTTCATTTTTTTATTTTAATTTTTATAACTTTTTATTAAACTAATTTTGTGAAAAAAAAGGACAACGAAGGTGTCTATGTGGCACACCCATTTGCCTTTTTGCCCTTTTGCTTTTTTTTTTTAATTAAATAAATTTTATAATAAAAAGTGTCAATTAATAAAGATGCCAAAATTATCCATATTTGACGGATTCAATCCATCATAATCCAATATGAGATAATTTTTTAAATCAAGTTCGAGTTGGGATAGATTGAGTTTTTTTTTTAAAAAAATAAGATTAAGATGAAAATGTGTTTAAAGTGCTTTGTCTTAATTTATTTTAAGGTATATATATATAATATTTTATTATTAATTTAATTTTATATTTATAAGTGTATTATATTAATAATTATTATTTGATATCTTAATTTAAGAAATCAATATTTTAATCTTTATAGGGATGTTCATATGACATACTCTATGAGTTCTTCTTTTATTTTTATTTTTTCTTTGTTTTCTTTTTTTGGTTTTTTTCTTTTCATTTTTTTAAAATTTGATTTTTTATTAGATAAATTTTATGAAAAAGAAAGACAAATTTAAACATTCATGTGTCATTCTCATTTGAATTTTTTTAATTATTTCTTTTTCATTTTTAATTAATAAATATTTTTAAAAATATAATGAATAAAAATAGAAAAAAAAAATTTTAACCCTGGCATGCTGCGGGTATCATCTAGTCTTGGTTAAAGTGGAACTTTTCAAATCAGACGTGCCATGCGGACTAAGACTGTAACTTTTAAGCACACGTGCCAGATGGATTTGTTTTAGCAGCCCTCCAGAATGATTGCCGTACAGAGACTTCCTAGACTCCTCTTTTATTTTTCGTTCATCTCATACTACCTTTTATTTTATAATTCTATTTACTACTTTTTAATCATCAAATTTCGATCATCTAGTCCAGTTTAATAAAATCAAATTGCAAACATTTTCTCACTTTGAGAGCTTGCAGTTGACGTGGCATACAGTAATTCTATCTGCTTTTTCCCGTCGATTCTTAGCAGACAAACACAATTTTTTTATTAAACAAATAAAAAGAAGTTGATGAAAAACCAACCTGATCCGCTAAGAAGTCCACCAAGGCAGAGATACGTTGTCCGAATATCTGTTTCCCTTTCCAAATGCAATTCAAGTGTCTCAACGCTTGTCCTCCTGTATACAAAGTCGACAGAATTGCAATTGCCAACAAATACCTGCAAAGAAAAAAATACAAATTAAACTCTAATTTCCAATCTAATATGATTGGACTTTCTAGTACCTGTATTCTTCATAGTCATCGAAATTCCAACCACCGTGCTTGTTGCTAGCCATGATTATAAAAGAAAGAAAAGAGAACAACAAAGCCAATCCTCTGGTGATCAGGGACCCTCTCTTCAACAAATCCTCCCTTTTCCATCGCCTGGTAATCACCGAGACACCGAACCCCAATCCCAGCGTCGGTTTCTCCACGTCGATAGTGGGTGTAGCCTTGGTGGCCGCCGATCCTGCGTGATTATTCTTGGTCGGTTCATCGGGGTTCGACATGTGAGAATCAAGTGACATTGAATTAGTGTTAGGAAAATTAAAATGAGGAGAAAGCTGAAGGAAGAACAGAGAAAAGTGGAGAGTGTTGGCGCAACAGAAAGAAACTGGGGATTGGGAAACGTTGTGTTTCAACTCAGCCTGCTCCTGTCTTTCTTTCAAGCGAAGTATTAACTTTAGTCGGACTGTCGTGTGTCCCTATATTGACACGTGTAACAAGATTTTCTTGGGTATATGATGTGGCGAGAAACGATTCGTCCAATAAGTAGGACATAACCAAAATATGGACGGTGATTTCCTTTTGTTTTGTTTTTTTTTTTTTTTTGGATTGAATAAAAATTGTGGTGAGGAGAAACCGATGGAAGTTTGGAAGATCAGCCCGTGGACCCCAACAAGACCCATTTTTAGTTTTTTTTTTTTTTTTTAAGATAAAAATGTTTTAAAATACATTTCCCATGCAATGCAACGCGATATTAGTTGTAGCAACGCTTCGACAATGTCGTCAATGTAAATCAAAATACTATTCTATTAATACTCTCTCTCCTTTTGTTCTTTTTATTTGTTATTATTCTGGTTTAACAACTGGAATCTATCTAAAAGGTTAATAATTTTATACTTATAATTTATAATAAGCATTGTGAAAAATGACAGTGTATAAATTTATTTTTTTATCAGTTAAAATAAAATATATTTTTGGAGAAACAAGTGAATATCAAATGACTTGTTTCTGCAAATAACTCAACAAAGTTATTTAACATTTTCAAACAAGTAAATAAATTCCAAATCAAATTTTTTTTTTTAAGAAACATGTAAATAACTTAACATTTTCAATTCAACGCTTTGGAAATTAATTTAATTGTAATATATACTTCAATGAAAATGAATGATATTTATAAATAATCAACTTATACTATAAAAACAAAAAAAAAAAAAACATAAAAACGAAGAGCAATAATTCTCGATAAATTTAATAATTTAAAATATAATATAATGATGTGATATGAACAATGTATCATACCGAAAGCAGACACGAAAAAGTCTCATTGCCAATGCAGCTCAAAACTCAATGGTTCAATTCCAAAACTTCATCCCATTCCCAATGGGGCCTGGCCTTACCCACCCAAATTTTAATGTGGGCCTCTGCCTTCAGCCAGCCTAATTTTGCTCTTGCCCGACATTTATGAACCCACCCGCTACTTCTTTATCTACTCTTTTATCTATATAATAATATAATTCGTTACAAAATTAAAATATTCATCCCAACGAATTTAAGTTTTGAATGCAAATGCAATAGTTTATAATCAGAAAACAAAAAAAAAAAAAAAAAGATTTGGAGTTTTGAGTTTGCATGCAGTTCTGAATTTTCTTTTTTAAATATTTTTTAACGTTAAAAAATACTATACACTTTTAAAGAGTATAACAACCTTTTTCTTAATTCCTAAAAAAATACATTACTATTAATTTATTGGTTAAAAGGTATAAAAGGCTCTGAACTATAATTTAAAAAATCATCCAAACTTTTTAATTTTTTTATTATAATTAATTAATCAATCTAATATTTATATACATCTAATTAAGTTTTTATTTGAATAAAAAAATTAACATTGTTAAATTTTTTTTACCAAGATAAAATATTACGTGACATTAAAAAAATAGATGAAAAGTAATCACTTTACATAATTAATATATGAGAAAATTAAATATAATAAAATTTCTTTATTTTCTCTCTTACTGTTTTTTAAAATTTTTTTAAAAATTTAATTGATTGTAATTCAAAAAATACTTAATTCAATTTTTTCACATGATTAAATTGTCTAATTAAAAATTTAATTGAATTAAAATAAAAAATTAATAACTCAATTAATTATAATACAATATTAAAAACTTAAATAATTAATAAATTATAATTCAAATATATTTGATCCTTTAAACTAATTTATTAAAGAACCGTTTCTTCGTCCTCCCAGCTATTTCTCACTCTAGTTTTGTTGTCTTTATTAGTATTTATTTTTTTTATTAAAAAAAAGAAAAGAGAGAAAAAGGTGGTTTTATTTTTATCATTTATTTATTTTATTTTATGTATCTCCAATTTGAAAACAGGAAACAGTGTAGACACGACCACGTACAGATTCTTTCCAACCTGTCAAAGGCTGGCTCGTTAAGGTGAGGCTGGGGCTGGGTCCCTCTGCTGCGACTTTTTGTTTTTGGAACAATCAATCATCGCCATCGGTTATTACCTTTTCTCATTAGCCAACGAATTCTAATCTTAGAGTCCTTATCACCTTTGAAAGAGGAATGTCAGAGATCGATGGACTCTCGATCTGGATAACAGCGACAAAGCTCCTTTTTTGCATGTCATTTTTATCACCGAAATTTCAGTTAGGAACCGCCAAAATCTCTCCTACTCCATGGTCCCAGACTGCCAGTGTTGTTTCGTTGGCAAATTGGTATTGCAACGCAAGCTGCACAAACAATTTCTTCTTCCCTTGGATGTCACACTGAATGTACCTACAATCAAGATTTTTCTTTATTTATTTATTTTAAATAATTACAAGGAGATTTTAAAAATTACTACTAGCATTTGGTCTTTAATTATCTTTACAAATTTATAATAGTTAGTTTTACAAGCCAAAAACATTAATAAACATAAAGATCATCATCTACATTCTATTCCACTATATCATCAGCTATATTATATATGCACTTCCTGCCTATATAATAATAATAATAATAATAATAATAATAATAATAATTAAGTAGTGCATGTGCACTTTTTGACCATCACCATACATGGACATGTTGGAAGAGACCAAATGATTTTGGATTGGTCCCTCTCAAACTAAAATTATAAATACTAGTCCATACTAAAGTGTATCCACAATTAAAGCTCTTTTCATGCTAATTCATTTTTGAAAGTTTGCCTTCATTCATGTGGGATAGGGTAAATGGCCATTTACTTCAAGTGCTCATATATATATATCCGGAATAAAATTTTACTTAACGAACCGGAACTAATAAGGTTTCTTGGAAAGACAAGGTTGGCTTTCATTTGGTAGCGTACGCAGATTAGAAAGTTGCCTTTGGCTTCTTTCATAACAAGATAAAAAAAAAAAAAAAAAGTTGAGGTCAACAGCAAATGTGAGTTGTGACAGAGAGCTTTAGAAAAACCTCAGTAATTAGGACTCATCATCAGGACCACACCAAACAACTACCAATATCTGTAAATTAGCTAAGAAATTCAATATCAATAGTATAAATTGGCATTCACAAATTTATCAGTTTAATTACCAAATTATCATACTTATAATTATCATAATGTCTAAGTTAAGAGAACCTATTCATTAGATACAAAAATTATGAAGTTGTCATCAATCTTTTTTAGTTATATATAATTGGTTATCTGTTTGAATCTATTATTTTTAAAGTTATTTTAAATCTAAGTTGAGGGTCCTAAAAAATTAAATTTTGATCTACATTAACAGAACTAAGGTTCAAAAATCGGTTACGTTGCCCAAAATTGATATCAAATTAATTATGTGTTATATAAATTAAACCTTAATCAAAGATGGTTTTCTCATATAAATCAAACAATTCCAAGCCCCTTTTTTATATACACCACATGGTCATACAAAAAAATTCTATCAAAATCAAATCATGCAATCATGTAAAAATATTAAATCATACCATATAAATATTATCATGCAAATATATTATAAATCATACCAAATATCATGCAATAATATCATGCCTAGATCATGCTAAAATATTCATGCAAGAATGTCAAGCAAATATATTAATTATAATACAATAATAACAATCATATAAATATATAATATCATGCAAATATATTAATAATCATGCAATAATATGAAATACTATAAAAATATATTAATAACCATTCATGCAAATATATAATCATGATATCAAATATAATTACACAAATATATTATAATTATGTAATTAAATATAGAAACATGCAATTAAATATCATTCAAATAAAATAGTAATCATGCAATAACATATAATATCATATGATGCAATAAATATAAAATCATGCAATAATAAATAAATAAATAACTATGCAAATAAATATATTAATAATCATACAATCACACAAATAAACAAATCAATAATCATATAATTAAATATCATTCAAATATAATACTAATCATGCAATAACATATAATATCATATCATGCAATAAATATAAAATCATGCAATAATAATAAATAAATATATCAATAATCATACAATCATACAAATAAACAAATTAATAATCATGCAATTAAATATATAACAATGCAATTAACAATCTAAATCATGCAAATAAACATGTAATTAAATATATAATCATGCAAATAAAAATATATAAACCATGTAAATAAATATACAATTAAATATATAATCATGCAAATAATAATATATAAACCACACAAAATATGCAATTAAATATATAATCATGCAAATAATAATACATAAATCATGCAATCATGTAAATAATAATATATAAAGCATGCAAAATATGCAATTAAATATATAATAATGCAAATAAACATGCAATTAAATATATAAACATGAAAATAAACATATTAATAGTCATGCAAATATATTAATAAATTACACAAATATACTAATCATGCAAATAAAATATTAAGCAAACAAATTATCATGCAAATATAATATTAATCATGCAAATATAATATTAGTCATGCAAATTCATGCAAAAATAAATACCATGTAATAAATATAAAAATAAGAGTAAGCAATTAAATATTATAAAAATTTATGCAAAAATCACAAAAAAAAAAAAGAAAACAAACATTACCTTAATGGATATAGGGTTCCAACGATTTTTCACTTTTCTAAAACTGATGCTTCTTATTATAAATTTTAGCCCTCCTTCTAAAAATTCCAACTGGATCTTTTTACAAATTTTTTTTCTTGATTGCTTCTTCCTTGTTGATTTAAAACTTTGTCTAAATTTTTTCTCTTTTCAATGACCTCTATTTGATCTTGAAGTCAATTATTGTGAGGCTCCCCATTTTTTATCTTAGATTCAAGGTGCTTTTATAGGGATTGAATCTCTTTTGATTTAGAAGAAATTAATTCAACCGAATCTAATATTTCTTTTCAAATTTATTCTTTGTGTAATTTTTTTTTTCAATAGATTGAATGCCAAG